CCCCCCCCCTCACTTACATCCGCGACAACGAGTTATCACCAATATCCCCACCATTTTGTAAGTTTTGAAAATTTGTCAAAGGGCCCGTGGCGTCCAGCGGTACCCCTGGTAGCAGCCATTAATGATGCATCTATGCACAAATTCATGCTATAAATGACATCCAAAAAACATCACAGCCATTCAGAACTCCTTATTTAACAATGTGCTGTTCAGTATCTTCAATCTTTGAAGTGACTTTTTGATCAAAATGTCAACGTGTAGTTAATTAAGATTAGCTGTTAGTTTCCGTAGACTGAACAAATGGAGCGCAGACGCTGCATGTGCAGAGAATCGCAATGCTTGAGGCGGGCTTTGATCAACGCCCCTCAAGAGCGTGACTTTAACCTCTTCTGAATCATCCCTATCCTTTTTCATTTATCTCTCCAGTCTGATAAAACAGGAGATGGGTTTTTATAGGCCTCCGCATCTCTCCAGCATTAGAGACATTTTCCGCCGGATACAGAGTTCCCAGACGTGCAATACGTACTGGATCATCAAGCTGTACCCCACCTCCTTCCCGCTGATCAAATATCATCAGCCTGAAGAAATCAAGACTTTCGCTGGGAAACTGAGAGAAGCAGGATGGAGAAAGACAGCAGGGGAGAAAAGATGACATTATAATGAAGCCCAGTAAATACCTGTTTTACTGCGTGGTTGAGTCTGTTCCTTTTTACTGCAGAGTTTCACTGAGAGTTCAGTGCCAAATGCTCTGACTCCCAGCATGCCTTGTGACCAGAAGGTCCCTCTGTAGCCCGGTATCCACCTTGACTGCCCTTCATCAAAGGTAGATAGGGCGTAAAAATTGAAAAAGGGAGTTGAAAGGAGAATAGCAAAAGGCACATCAAGTAAACATGTCTCTATCGTAAAAGGGTGATCATATTCTGCCAAATACTTTTGTCCAATCTTCAAAGCAAAGTCAGCAAAGGGTTTCCTCCACAGGTGCAGTGTATGTAGCCATTAGACTTGCGCTGGAGCACCGCACATTACGAATGGCGGTTGTAAGCCATAGGTCTTTTGTTTATAAGTCTCCCGACCCCTTTTATGTTTGGCACATTGTGCTCTCGTGTGGTTGTAAACATCAGCACTCAAATGCAGGGAGCTTAGAGTGACACCTTTAGTGTGCAATTGTGGAACACTATTTTATAACATTGGCAAGTTAGAGATCATGCTGCTAAGTGTTCTTACAAGCACTGGTGGTCTTGTGATATTGCATCTACGTTTTTTTGCACGCTTAAGAAAACCTCACAGCAGGCAATTCTGACTTGCCTGACCATTTAAAAATGCTAATCAGCCTCGGTGGCTGATCTTTTTGACCTATCATTAAGAAACACGCTTTTAAGATTTATGTACCATGTACACATCTGAAAAAATACAACTTCTCATTGTTCTTTCACCTTGTATTCACATTTGCAGATGAATTAAAAGATCTGACAGGTGATGGCGGCACAGTGGAGTTAATAAAGCCCAAGTGCTGCAGGCGAATCACAGGTTTATGGTCCTTTTTAAACACGCAGATATAAAAGAGTCAAACGGGAGCCTTTTATGACTCGCCGGCCTGCCGACGCTGCTTTTATTGAGAGGGAACATATTACAGTCCCTGGGGGGAGGCCTTTTTTCATCCTAAATGTCATTTTTGCAACCTGCCATAACAGACTGGGTGCAGCACAACATGTAGGATCCATTAGGAAGCTACAGTTGGCCAAATATTAGCAAATGAAATTCAGTGAGATGGAGGAGCAAACCTATTTATTAGGTTGGGTTTGGATTGCTTGGGTTGGGTTGGGTTAGGTTTGTTTTGTTTTGTTCATGTCACTTGTGGTTGGTTTGGTTTGTTCCATCCATTTTTTGTGGGCCTGCTTTGGTCCAGCTGGGATTAGTGTGCTTAGGTTTATTAAT